ATTTATTTTTATTTATTTATTTATTTGTTTCTTTATCTAATTAATTAATTAATTGATTTTTTGCTGTCCTGTGTCCTGACTTTGGTGCCAATACTTGTAGATTACGTAAAATGTGTTAACATGGTGCACATTGTTAACGTGTTATGTTTCGAAAATGAGTGGACTTTTTTCTCACAATTTGAAATATCAGCAACAACAAAAAAAACATGTTTGTTTCCGGAAGTACCGTAATGTGTATTAATCTTTTTTTTAATTCCTCTTTGTATTTTAATTATCAGTTTGTTTGATTATTGATTAAAGTTTTTCTTAAAAGTAGGTGCGTAGTCTAAAGATGACGGAAATGTTGATTCTTAGGAGACTGCCGAGAATAACGTGAAAGGAAAAGAAATCAAATAAGGTTGAGATTTTGAAACCAGCGTGGAACGTTTGCTGATAAAATAAGATCACAAGAAAAAGGCTGATAAATATATGACTAGGGCACTTACATCGACGTAGTACATGCTTCGAATAGTTCCCCCCCCCCCACACTCACTTGAAATTTAGAAAGCAAAAGATGCACTGGTGGTTCAAGAATAGAAATGATGAAATGGTATAGGTTTAGCGCCCCTATAAACACTGATAGATTATTTAATAGGCGGGACCTCCGAGTTTAACGTCCATCTCCGAAAGGACCCAGCCAAATGGGAATTAAGTGTGAAACGCATTTCCTATTAACACAACGTCGGACCGAGCAGAGGCACGAACCCCGGAACCCGCAATCTCACGATTACAAGCCCAGTAGCCTATAACCACTAGACCGCCGACGCGCCACTCAAGAAGTCTACTTAGAGTACTTTGAAGAGATGAATGACGAGAAAACACCACCAGGATTGTGTCATTTAGTTTTTCGACCGTCAGAACGGAGAACCGTGGTTACAGGTGTCTGTTTCCGATAATCTGGCACTCACAGTAAAGGGCTAAGCAGCCCCTGGGCTCTTTCTAAATAACCAAAATTTTGTCAACGGATACGTAATCTTTCCTAACCGGCTACAGCCTAGAGTACGGACTTAGCGAAATCAGAATGGAGATGCAAATCTGTTTGTATTATACAAAGAATATACATGTTTGAGAAAATAATATATTTGTTTTGTACAAAGAATATATATCTACACATTTGTGAGGCAGCGTGGTGGAATCAGGCTCTCGTCAATTTTTGGGCATGTAGAGTTATTTGTATCATCTTAAAGCTTGTTAATTTGTCTTTATTTGGATGAAAAGAATATTCATTTATCTTGAATACAAGTCGAGATATTTGCAAAAGAAGGGGGTGGGGCTTACCAGTTTTCAGAGGTAAAACTACTGAGAAAATGGCCGCCAAAGATTAGTTATTTCCTTAGCTTAAGAGTCAGTGGTAACAGAAAATTTACATTTTTTTTGTGCCTTTAATTAACATTTTTCAGAAAAATCCACACAGAAATTAGTTCTTTATTGGGCATGAAAGGTGTTGAGCCAAAAAAAAACCAAAAGTTTTATAAAAATTCACAAACCTGCGGAAAAATGCAAGTTTCGTCACTTTGATTATTTTGACTAGAGCCTGATTCCACCACGCTGCCCCACATTTAAGAAAAAAAATACGCTCGTATTGTACAAAGAATATAGATGTTTAAGAAAGATATCGGTACTAAGAAGATCTGTTCGTTATGTACGAAAATCACCATGTGCATGTTTCGCTATGTACATGTTTCACTATTTGCATGTTTCATCATGTGTGTGTTTCGTTATGTGCATGTTTTGCTATGTGCACGTTTCGCTATGCGTGTGTGTTTCTCCATGCGCAAGCCTGACTGTACTAATTCCTCTCTCTGACCAGCCAAGCCTCTGTGTCCGGTATTGTCCCCCGTGACCCCATGATGACGTCATCGACGTACAGTTGGCTGACCCTTGGTCTCCTGGTATTGGCGTGGTCAACGTCCACGGTCTTATCGCAAGACCACATGTACACACTGCCAGGTAATCAGGAAATGCTAGTTTGTTGCGTTGGGGTTTTGTTTGTTTGTGTTTTGTTGTTGTTTGTTGTTTGTTTTGTTGGGCTTTTTTGTTTGTTTGTTGTTTAATTATTTGTTAAAAAATTTTAAATTAAAATTATTTTTTTTAATTTGGGGGGGGGGGGGTGGTTTTGTTTCGTTTCATTGTGGTTTATTTGTTTGGGTTTCCTTTTTTGTTTTTTTTTTAAGCAAAAGTTTTATGGCACTTGCAACACAATTATGTCATAATATAACAAGAGCTGAAGATTAGAGGTAGCACTACTAGAGAGTCATATACACAGGGAAAAAAGGAGAGGGAGGATATAGGGACGATATTATGTTTTTAGTTTTAGTAAGAGTTTTACGGCACTTGCAACACTATAAGGTCGTATAAGTGCCGAAGATTAGAGGTATTACTTGTGTCCTTGACACTTGCTTGATGTTACTTTTGAGACTTAAATCACTTCTTACTTAACCACTGGAGCCCCCCCCCAAAAAAAAAAATCTAAACCAAAAACTTTTAAAAAAGAAACTATTTTAAAAAACTAAAAAATTATTTCACAAATTATTTCAGAAAAACTAAGAAGAAAAAAAAACATTTAAAAAACTATTAAAAACAAAATTATAAAAAACTTTTTTTTAAAACTATCTAAAAACTTTTTTTTTAAACACTAAAAAGAAACCAATAAAGATTATATATATATTTAACAAACTGTTTTAAAAAACTATTTTAAAGCTATAAGAGAAAAATAACTTATAAAAATCCCCAACTTCCAGACTACAAGGACCACCCGTGCGTGAGACAGTGTGAGAACAAGGCGCCACCCCGTCTGTGCAAGTACCACTGGGTCCTAGAGGTCTATTACGTACTCTCCAAGGCTTGCTTCAACTGCCCGTTCAACCAATCAGATTGCTCCAGACCCCACTGCGTCCCTGCCGACGGCGTGTCACGTGGGATCCGGACAGCCAATAGAATGCTGCCTGGCCCTGGCATTCAGGTTGGTGTCACTGTAAAGTCTTCGGAGAAGTATTCTTGAAGAACCATGCCTTAAAACGTATTCAGTACTATTTCCATGCTTACGTTTTAGCTTGTTGGTAAAATGTTACTTTCACTCCCGCTCACAGATACTCTGCTTTAAGGATCAAACTGCAGTAATGGTTAAAAACACCAGCTGCAATTTTTTTGGGCGGGGTAAGTGTTTTACGGCGCTCGCAACTGCATAAGGTCATTTGAGCGCGCGGGACACACCTAACTTTTTCGGTTGATAGGAAATTTTGAATTTTGCCTGGGTGGCGGCCGAAGCCTATTCTTATCGATTTTGGACCACCAAGGGATCTTTAACGTGCATAATTTGCACACGGGACCTTTCCTACCAGAAGATCAGGGGTGTGGCTGAAAAACAGCCGTAAGAAGGAGACAAGGAGAAGCAGAGGAAAGGCTGCAGAAAGAGCCAGGAGCCCAAAGGAAGGGACAAATGAGGTGAGTGGGAGGGGGGCAGAAAGTGGAGACGAAAGAAAATTTTTATAGAGCAGGAAAGGGGATGAAAGGAGACAATTTTAGAGAAGAAAATGTTTCGGTCGCTACCCGGATTCGAACCCGGGACCTTTGAATGAGAGGCGAACACCTTAACCTCTAGGCCACGAAAGCCCCCAGCTCCAAATCCTCCTGAACATTTTAAACAAATCCTCAAAATGCTGTTGCAACAGAATATGTATTCTTTTTTGTCTGTTTTTTGTTGTTGTAAACCCTATCATGAAACCGAACCCATTGCCAAGTTTTGATGACGTCCGCAAGTCACGTTTCCCGTTTTTGCAGCACATCGTCCCACTGCAGTTTCGCACCAACGACTCTAGATTCGTGCACACATTTCTGTGCACATGTCACCGTGACATAATATCATCATGCTGCCCTAAATGTGTCTCGACACGGTGCAACGATCATGTTTATTAACCCTTAGCAAAGATAGTAAATAACAAGATGGGCCACTCAGCCAAAAAAGTGTCTGCAGGATGTTCGCTCTTTGCTTCAGATGGCGCTGCAGTCTATTTTGAAGCTCTCTTTCGTTTTTCCAGAAGAAGAATAGGAATAGCACCTCCTTTCGTGCGCAGATCGACTGCTGTTCATCAGCAGTTCGGGTTCGTTCAGTGCGGAGTTTTAGTTTTTTTTTTATTTTAATGACCTCTCGCCTTTCATTCTAAAGTCAAATTAAACAAAGAAAACAATCACCCTTTCCTCCGGAAGAGGTTTTTTGTCAGCGTAACCATTTTAAAAAAGCGTTCTTCCGAAATTCATTCAAAAACTTGCTAGTTTCACTTTGAATTTTTAAACTCAAGTAGGATAACTCTGTTCGCAAAAGGTGCGCTTTTGCGAAGAGGGCGCCACCGAATTTTGAGGACACTTTTTTAATTGGCTCAAAGAGAGAAGTGGCCCCTCTTGTTATGTAGACTCTTTGCCCTTAGGCAAATGACATTTATCGTATCATCTTACAGCTCGTTCGTCCGTCCTACTTTTGATCCGAAGGAAAGAAACGTGAGGCAGCGTGGTGGAATCAGGCTCTCGTCAATTTTTGGGCAGGTAGATTTATTGGTGTCACCTTAAAGCTTGTTCACTTGTCTTTATTTGGATGAAAAAAAATATCCATTTATCTTGAATACAAGTCGAGATATTTGCGAATGAAGGAGGTGGGGGTCACCTGTTTTCAGAGGTGAAATTAATGAGAAAAATGACCGCCAAAGATTAGTTATTTCCTTAGCTAAAGAGTCTGCGGTAACTGACTTTTTTTGTGTGCCTTTAATCAACATTTTTAAGAAAAACCAACACAGAAATGAGTTCTTTAATGGACATGAAAGGTGTTGAGCCAAAAAAACAAAAATTTGATATAAAAATTCACAAACCTTGGGAAAAATGCAAGTTTCTTCACTTTGATTATTTTGACGAGAGCCTGATTCCACCACGCTGCCTCACAAATGTATTACTTCTCGGATTTAAAACTCAAGGAAATAGATACATCCGGCTTATAGGTGAAGTTTTTACAATTTAAAAGCATGAAATAATAAAAGAAATGTTATAGTTAAAGAATATGGATTCAATAGCAAATGTACAAATTTGACCTTAATTTCGATTTTTTGTCCAATATCTCATTTAATTGTGGATTGTGAGAAGTTACTCGTTTTGTCAGCACGCCTCACAATGCTAAATGTTGCATAGACAGCGATATATTAATTGCGACTTTTAAAAAAAGAAGGGGGTGGGGGTCCTGGAGGAATGGCCTGGTGCCTCAGGTAAAGTTAGCGAAAGAAATGACTGCCACCGTTTGGTAGCTTCCAAGGCTTTAGTGGACTTGGAAACTGTAAATAATGTAATTTTTTTGTGCCTTCCATCAACGATTTTTTTTGTCAGTAAAATCCACACAAGAACATTTATAATTGGGAATGGACATTAAAGGTGTTGATGCAAAAACAACAACAACAACAACAACAACAACAACAACAACAACAACAACAACAACAACAACAACATGTTATAGTGCGAAATTTGTGCTTTTTTTCTGTCGTACTGCTTTGCTTTCTACATGTTGCACTGAAAGCTATCGTGTTCATGTGCTACTCATCCCTCCTACAATTATGATCGATATCCCGTCTACATACTCCTCCCCTCCCTCCCATAATTATGACCGTTGTACTTACTGCTAATTGATCCAATAGTCCACGAGGATCGCCAGGTACCTCCACTGTTCACTGTTTTTCCTTTGCGAGCGCCGCCTGAGTTTGTGCGAAGGATTTCCCTGTCAACTCCGCAATGCTGTCGGCCCACCTCCTACTTTGCCATCATTCCCGTTTTAGTATTTATACCCCCCCCCCCTCAACACACACAATATGTTTTCAACCCCCCCCCCCTACACACACACACTCCCTGTTTACCCCCCCCCCCCCTTTCCCCACCAGGTGTGTGAGGGCGACACTGTGGAGGTGACGGTAGACAACCGGATGGAGGCCTCAGAAGGTACAAGCATCCACTGGCACGGCATTCTGCAAAACGGAACCGGACACATGGACGGCGTTGCCATGGTCACGCAGTGTCCGGTGACGTCACACTCTAAGTTTGTCTACAGGTTGGTGTTCTTCTTAAAAATCAAGCGCTCTGATCTATTTCAAATAGTCACTTTTTGTGCAGTGAAGAAAAAAATAGATCTATACAAAATTGATACTGTGAGATAAGAATCTCAGGAAAGAGATGGTTGTTGAAATCTCCAGGTGTTGACCATTTCTTTCCCTACAAGTAGTGGCTCCAACATGCCAATGAAATATTTGAATAACGCCATGGCATTTTTCAGCGTCGATTCTGTTGACGTCATATAATAATAATAATAATAATAATAATAATAATAATAATAATAATAATAATAATAATAATAATAATAATAATAATAATAATGAAGATCATTTCTATATCGCCCCCTCCCGTGTAAACACAGCTCTAGGCGCTTTACATAAATGCATGTACAAACAATATTCAAGCACGCAACACACACACACACACACACACACACACACACACACACACACACACACACACACACACACACGCACACATACACATACACACACACACACACACATAATAACACACACTCATACACACACACAAACACACACTCATGATATACACATACACACACAAATACACACATACACACTCACGAACACATAACACGCACACAGATGCACACACATGTACGCCAAACACACACACACACACACACACACACACACACACACACATACACACTCACACACTCACACACACGTACGTACGCACGCACACACACACACACACACACACACACACACACACACACACACATCTACTTGCTTATCACACGCACACGCTTACACATCGTCACGAAATGAGCTTAAAATAATATACACAATGCAATTCACAAAATACATCAATGGATACATAGTCATTTACATAACATTGTATTGAACATGAATCTACTGGCATAAAAAGGATGTCATTAAATGTGTCTTTAAAGATTTTTTAAATTTAGACTCAGATGTTGTATGTCTCAAGGGTTGGGGAAGAGAGTTCCAAACTGACGGAGCAAGGTGGGCGAACGATCTTTAGCTAATTTTTTACCCCCTTTTCTAGGAACTCTTAAAAGATACTGATCGCCTGATCTTAGAGATCTAGATGGAACATAAATCTGGATGAGATCACTAAGATATGAGGGGGCTTTATTATTGACACATTTATGACGTAATATTGCAATTTTATATGACATTCTAGCTGACAACGCCAATGCAACGTTTTTAACATGGGAGTAAGGTGGTCCCTCTTCTTTTTCTTTAGTACAAGCCTGGCAGCATGATTTTGAAAACGTTGTAACTTGTGAAGAGTGGTATTTGGTAAATTAGCTAGTAAAGCATTGCAATAATCGATGTGTGAAAACAAGAAAGATGACACGAGCGTTTTCAACGAGTGTTCATTCAAAAACATAGACATATGACCAATTCTACGCAATTCACAAAATAAAATGGTACTCAAATAATTGATATGATGTTCCATTGACAATTTTGAATCAAAATACACTCCCAGATTTTTTGCTTTATTAGTAAAACACAGTTTTTCATTTTCAGTACAAATATGATTAATGTCTACAGGGATATGGCTTTTCTTTGGATTACATAAAAGAATTTCAGTTTTATTTTCATTAAGCTGGAGCTTATTATCAACCATCCACTTTTTGATGTCATCAATGCACAGACCCATCGTAGTAAGCAAGGTTTTAACGTCTGATGGTGGAACAGATTTATATAACTGTGTATCGTCTGCGTACATGTGATAATTCATATTGTGCTTTCTAATCACAGCTCCAAGCTGCTGAGTATATAACGTATACAAGAGTGGACCCAATACTGAACCTTGTGGCACTCCAAAGTCTAGCTTAAAAATTGACGAAAGAGAGTCGTGCACAACCACAGATTGTGTACGGCCACTCAGGTAGGACCTGATTCAGCATTGAGTTTCATTTTGTTGCGTCGGTGGCCTAGTGGTTAGGCTACGGGAATCGTAATCTTGAGGTTGTGGGTTCAGGGGTTCGAGCCGCGACGTTGTGTCCTTGGGAGAGGCACTTCACACGAATTTCCCTCACTTCAGTCAGGTGGGAAAGGGTACTCGGCTATAGACAGCAAAAGATCTTGTCACTATGTTAGTGTTTCAGCGCCTATAAAATGGTCGCTGGCGCTGTATGCTTCCCGGGAAGTTGAGGTTGTTTCAGAATGCTCTCAGGTCTGCTGAGGTAGTAATATTGAGTGGAGCATGGATTTTGCGTTATACAACTGCTATCTATCTATCTATCTATCTATCTATCTATCTATCTATTTATCTATCTATCTATCTATCTATCTATCTATCTATCTATCTATCTATCTATCTATCCATCTATCTAATTACCTATCTATCTATCTATTCTATCTATCTATCTATCTATCTATCTATCTATCTATCTATCTATCTATCTATCTATTATTATTATTATTATTATTTTATTATAATTAAATAATAAACTCAAGAAGGAGATGGTTTTTGAATTTTCCGGGTGTTGACCATTTCTTTCCCTACAACCCCAGGGCATATTTCTGGATCGATTCTGTTGACGTCATATTCATCATTGAGTTTCAACTTATTACTGTTCAACTGTTTGTGGGTTGTTTCCGTGGACTCTGTCCATCAAAAATGGTGACATGTCATTTGTAAACGTTCGTCTTATAAGGCGTTCCCTGAACCCTTCTTACAACAACACAAGGGCCAGTCTTGTTAGGCGTGTTAGGTGCGGCCCCATCACTGGAATAATGCCTCTACAACATACGTGAGGCAGCGTGGTGGAATCAGGCTCTCGTCAGTGTTTGGGCATATTAAGTTATTGGTATCATCTTTAGGCCTTTTCATTTGTCTTGCTTTCAATGAAAAAATTATCCATCCATCTTCAATAGAAGTGGAGATATTTTGGATTGAAGGAGGTGGGGATCACCTGGTTTAAGAGGTAAAATTAACGAGAAAACGGCCGCCAAAGCTTGATAAATTCCAAAGCTTGAGAGTCCATGGAAACTGTAAATTTATACTTTTGTGCGTTTAATCAACGTTTTACTTGAAATCCTCAAAGGAATGTGTATATAAATGGACATAAAAGGTGTTGAGCCAAAAAACAAAAATTTGATAAAAATTGCTAAGCAGGGAGAAAACTGTTGTTTTCTCCGATTTCATTATTTTGACGAGAGCCTGATTCCACCACGCTGCCTCTACAACATACCACATTCTCCCCAAACTTTTTCAAAACTTTCACACTACCGCGGGATATTCAGATGGTGTGACTATCGTGATTTTATCGCCCTGTGTCCTGAAACCAGCACAGGCCGATCACGCCACTGTAACTAAACACTTTTAAAAAGTAAATTTTGCGTTTTACCCAACTCCAATTGAAAATTTAAAAACTTGACGTTTCTCGAACACAATGCTTTCTTCGTATTATTTACAAAATTAATGTCCACATGGCTGAGTTTTATTTGTTCGAATTTCTTTTGGTAATTAATGAAGAGAAGACGGAGATATTGTCATTTAATTGGATCCTCTTTTTTAGACACCCTGAATGTGTGTTACTCTCTAGAAACACCTTTAATTTTCGTTACATATTTGACTTATTTGTATTGCAAATGTCGCAAGTCTCTTACTAAAATTAAGATCTAATAAAAACCAACAAAAATAAAGACCAAAAAAAGCTTTTAAAAAATAAATGAACAGCACGTCATATTATGTTCCTTTTTTCCACACAACACAGATTCAAAGCAGTAAACTCCAGCCCC